CATCCCTCCTCTCCATCCTTCGGTCCGTACAGGACTCCCTCTAGACACTCTCCACGTCCGTCGTTGGCATCTCAAGCCAGTTGACCGCCCTCGAGTCCCAAACCACTACCCCCTCCATCCAGGTGGTCACCACCACCACCCCCACGTCCACAGTCGCCTCCAGCCACACCCCCCCGCCGACCTCCTCTACTCCTACTACCTCTACCACCGCATCCACCACCTCCGCCTCCTCCACCCTTCCCACCCCCTCATCCGGCGCTTCCAGCATGCCGCCTCATTCCTCGCCTAACCACGTCACCCCCCTTTGCCCCCCACACTCCCATACTATCTCACAATCCATCATGACGACCTCCACCATCCCCACCCTCCGTCCCACCTATTCCCAAGTCACCTCCGGGGTTTACCCCGCAATGCCACAACTTCCCCCCAACTACCTCCTTGACGACAACAGTCAATTCGATTACACCTGCGACAGTACCCCCGATAACCTCAACTTCAACACCCTCGCCCGGATCGTTTCCCACGAAGGGAAAATCCCCGTTCCTTCCGATCCGCCGACATCATGCCCTTCTCCGACCTTCCCCACGAGGACGTTTTCCTCTTCCTTACCCAACTCCAAAACTCTTTCAAGCTCCACCACATGCCCCTTGTCCACTGGCTTCCCATTGCCACCTCCCGCCTCCTCGGCAATGCCACCAAATGGTGGATGGCCGAAGTCAGCAACCGCCGCGCCTCTGAAGGACCGCGTCACTCCTTCCTCCAATGGGCCAACCGTCTCACTGCCACCTTCTGCCCCCAGGAAACCATCGATGACTACCTCGAACAATTCTGTCACCTCCTCCAGACCGGTCCCAGGGACCGCTTCGTCCAATACATCCGCTCCCTCCGCCATCACCTCCCCACCACCGTCATTCCCGACTTTGCGTTCATCTCCCGCATCAAGCGAGTATGCCACAAAGATCTTGCAACCGCCCTCGCCCACGAACCCGACATGCCCCTTGCTGACCTCCTCTCTCGCATGCTTCACCACGATCGACTCCATACCCATCACCAGTCCGTGCCCGCTCCCTCCCACCCCCGCTTCTTCCATAACATCACCACTGACGACACCACTGCACCCACCTCCGATGACAACCTCGACACTGCCTCTCTTGACCCCTCCCAATTCACGATTGAGGACCTCGAGGCCGCCCACCTTATGCGGATGGAACGCCAGGATTGTGCCTCCCGACCGCCCTCTTCCTCTCCACCCCGCCGTCTCCAGAAACTTGCACCCGCAGAACGCATATACCTCTAGGAACACAACGGGTGTTTTCGCCACCGATAGTTAGGTCACCTGCAGACCAACTGCCCCAACGCTAGCCGCTTTACTCGACAGGCCCCTCGCTCCGCGGGACCCGACCCTTCTACTCCCACTTCTTCCTCCACCGCGACAACCGGGCCCTCGTCCACCTGAACATTGTCCCCCTGTCCTTTGCAATCCTCCCCCGGCATCGACCACTTCTCTGCTGGCTTTCCCATCGGTGACGATCTCTCCTCCACCGGTGGCCCGCTTCACATCGACAATCCATCTGCCTACCCCCCCTCCGGTGACGCACATCCCATCAGACGACCCCAAGCGACGCAGTCTACTCCGCCTGCCCCCCTCCCAACGACATCTGCTATCCTGCCGGTCGAGCTTCCCACTGGCACCTGCTCTTTTACTCTCATCCCTAACCCCTTCTCTACCACCTTCTCTGATCTCGTTGAGGAACAAGCACGAGACAATCGGCTTGTTAGACTAGGCTTGGAACAACGCCGCCTCAACACCATGATCTCTTATGCTTGTGCCGGAACCTCATAGTTCCAGCTCACGTTTATCGCCGTCTCCTTTGGCGTATCGACAGTGAAGTTCTGGGCCCTCCTTGATATTGGTGCCACCGACAACTTCATCACCGAAGCGTGTGTCCACAAAGCCGGCCTCTCTTCCACCGGCTATGACTCCCTGATCACCATCTGACTAGGGGATAAGCCATCGTTGTCGATCGCACCGTCCCCGAGACCCTCATGACTGCCGGTCCTCTTCGCAGTCAGGTCTCCTTTGATGTCATGCACCTCATGTGCGACATCGTCTTGGGGACTCCATGGCTTGACCGTTTCATGCCCTGCTCCTTCCACCCCTCCTTTGTCCAACTCACCCGCCCTCCTGACTCTCCTCTTGATATCCCTTACCTTCTCCCCCCTTCTACCCCACCCCCTGTCTCCCCTCACCAGTTCCTTGACATATCTCGTGAACACCCCGACTCCGCTTACTATTATCTTGTTATCGACCTCGAGCGTCCCGAGGACTTGCTTCCAACGGACAAACCCAACGAAGACCCCCCTTCCGATCCTCACATCATCGCTCTCCTCTCTGAATTCAAGGACGTCTTCCCCGAGTCCTTGCCCGCCGGTTTACCTCCCGATCGAGATGTATCCCACATCATTGATCTCGAGCCAGACCATTCTCCTCCTTGCCGCCCTCCGTACCAACTCTCCGTCCCCGAGGCCGAAGAAATGAAGCGCCAACTCGATGAACTCCTTGAAAAAGGATTCACTAAGCCTAGCTCCTCCCCCTTCGGAACCAGTTGTCTCTTCGTCAAGAAGAACGACACCTCCGAATTCCGCATGTGCACAGACTACCGTGCCTTGAACCGGATCATCATCAAGAACAAGTACCCACTCCCCCGGATATCTGAACTTCTTGATCGCCTCCTTGGAGCCAAATATTTCACCAAGATCGACCTCCGCAGTGGCTTCCACCAGATCCGTATCCGCGAAGACACCCACAAGACCGCATTCCGCTCTCGGTTCGGGCACTACGAGTTCCTCGTAATGCCTTTCGGACTCACCAATGCCCCCACCACATTCCAGTCCACCATGAACCACATCTTCGGTGACCTCCTCGAAGCCTTTGTCGTCGTGTACCTTAATGACATCCTCAACTTTAGCCCCACCTTCAAGTCCCACCTTCAACACATTCGCCAAGTCCTCTCGATCCTCTGAGAGAAAAAATTATACGCCAAGCTCAGCAAATGTACGTTTGCCGCTTCGAGCGTCGAATACCTTGGCCACATTGTCTCCGTTGAAGGCATCCGTATGGACCCCTCGAAGGTCACAACCCTCGTCGAGTACCCCCCGCCCAAGACCCTCCTCCAACTTCGTTCCTTCCTCGGCCTTGCCAACTATTACCGCCCGTTCATTCGCAACTTTTCCAAGATCTCTTACCCTCTCCACGAACTCACACGCAAGGACGAACCCTTCAATTGGAACGATCGCCGCCAACACGCTTTCGACTCCCTCAAGCAAACCATCACCATGACCCCTGTCTTCAAGATCGCCGACCCCACTCGCCATTTCTATGTCACCACTGATGCCTTCGACTTCGCCATTGGAGCCATACTGTCCCAACATTTCCCCTGCGACACCGTCGAGACCCCGTCCATCAAGGACGCGCCCACTCACCCCGAGGCTCCATCCGGGGAATACCCCATCGCCTTCGCAAGCAAGAAGCCCCTTCCCGCGGAGATGAATTACCCCTCCAACGAGAAGGAACTCCTCGTCGTGATTCACGCCCTCACAGTCTGGCGCCCGTATCTCAACGGGCAATACTTCACCATCCGCACTGACAACACCATCGTTTCTTCCATCCTTACCAAGAAAGATATCACCCCACGCCAAGCTCGATGGCTCGACTTCCTTGCCCAATTCACATTCACCATTTGCCATACACCCAACAAAAGCAACGGTGTTGCTGATGCCTTTCTCGACGACCCGACTACAAGCCCCTCGAGAAAGTCTACGCCGTCATGACCCATATCCAGCTCCTCCCATCACTCCATCACCGATACACCCAAGGCTACCTCTATTGCCCAGACTTCGCCGCCATTTACAACAAGCTCCGCGATCTTGACCCAGTCCCCGACTACTCCCTCCACGACAACCTCCTCTACATCGACACCAAAGGCACTCACCGACTGTGCATCCCTGACACACGTGGTCTTCGTACCCAGCTCTTGGTCGAGCACCACGACGCCAAGACCGCAGGTTACCTCGGTTTCCAGAAAACCTTTGACACCATCTCCCGCTACTTCTATTGGCCTTCTCTACTCGCCGACGTCAAAACATACATTTGCTCATATCCCACGTGTCAGGCTGTCAATCCCTCGAACCGGGCCAAACCCGGCAAGCTCCAATCATTGCCCATCCCCACTCACCGGTGCCAGTCCATTTCCATGGACTTCGTGTGCCGTCTCCCTAAGATCGACCGCGGGCATGATTGCATCTACATCATTGTCTGGCGCCTGACCAAATGCGCACACTTTATTCCTTGCGCCACCTCGCACACCGCCAAAGACATCGTCTTACTCTTCTTCGACCATGTTGCACGCCGCCACGGCCTCCCCGAGAATATCATCAGCGACCACGATCCCCGTTTCCTCTCACAGTTTTGGGAACAACTCTTCAACGCCTACGGAACTACACTCAAGTATAGTACTGCATTCCATCCACAGACCGATGGACAAACCGAGAAGATGAAAGATACTCTCCAAAGAATCCTACAGACGTACTGTCATCCACATTAACACGATTGGGATCAGTTGCTCACCGCCGCCGAGATCGCCTACAACAACGTTGTCTGTCCTTCCACTGGCATGTCTCCATTCTACCTTGACCTTGGCTACCATCCGCGCTTGCCCTCTGATTTCCTGCTTCCCTTGCAACTCAACCCCTCCACACCCTGCCCTTCCCTCAATGAATGGGTAGCAACAATGAATCGACTTCTTAGAGAAGCAACCGAAGCCCTCGAAAGAACATAAGAACAACAAACAAACAAGATCAACAAACACAAACGAGACTTGCAATTAAAAGTAGGGGACAAAGTCTGGCTCTCCGCCAAACGCTTTGAACCCGAACATGGATTGTCAAAGAAACTCTCGAACAAATGGCTCGGACCCCTCCCCATCATTGAAAAAACCTCCGACGTCAACTACAAACTCCAACTCCCCCGACATGAGCCGCATCCACCCGGTCTTCCACGTCGAATACTTGAAAGAATATCATGAATCCTCACCCCAATTCGCTGACCGCCCATATCCTAGACCTCCACCTATCATGTTACCCACAGACCCTGAATTCGTTGTTGAAGCAATCATAGGTCGACGAACTACTCAGGTATATGACCATCCGGAACCAATCACTGAATACAAAGTCAAATGGACCGGATACCCCGACGAAGAATCTACATGGGAACCTCTCTCGAATCTCAAGAATGCCATGAAACTTGTCCGCGCCTATGATCGTGCTACTTCTATGTCCTAGACACCCACGTAACTACAACCCTAAACCCCTGTATAAACCTTGCTACAACCTTGCAACCCCTTTCTACACACACCCTCGAACCCAGTCCACCCTCCCCTCGACCCCGATTCCTGATGTCTGATCTGCCCTTGCCCTCGCCTAGCCTTGTCCCGTCTGTCCTCTCCACTACCTTGTCTCTCTTGTCCAATGCTTATGAACCTGCGTGACGCCGGCGATAAAGGATCTAATGGCAAGCGCACGAGGACGATGGCCTGCTGCCCCACTGTTCATGAAGATTATGAAGCTGATTTGGCCGCCATGCTGTTTCATCGGCCGGCATCCCGACTCGCGGACTTACTGGAGAAGCAACTTGTGACATGGATGTTTGCATCAGTCTGCAACTTCCTTGCTTCCGGATCAGACCTCATTGCAGTTCGTGTACCGGACACACCCTACCACTTGGACTTCGGACATTTGAACTACTGTTACGCGTCTTGGACTTCTACCTGTCTTAGCCGCCGAAGACCGCTTCTACCACCTACTCCAAGACCTGATCAAGACCGCTGCAGATCCCCTTTCAAGACAGTTGGACACTTTGTTCCTACATGAGATTCTGCTTCCAACTCCTTCGGACACACTGGCCCTTGCCTCCTGAACAAACATTGTCATTTTTATTTTTATTTTTCCTGACTTTGACAACCCTGTAGAACATCATTAGCAGATCCCTGTTTCCCTGAACATTGTTCCCCTTACCCACTAGAACATCAATATAAATTCCCTGTTCCCCTGACCATTGTTTCCCTTACCCACTAGAACATCAATAGAAATTCCCTGTTTTCCTGAACATTGTTCCCCCTACCCAGTAGAACATCAATAGAAATCCCGTTCCCTGAACATTGCTTAGCTTCCCCTATAGACCCACCCAGTTACGTCATACCTTCACCTGTGCAGAACACCAGACAGAATCCCTGTGACTTGCATCACTCCCCTTCTCCTTCTCCGACCAGTGATCGGCCCCGTCCCGTCCTTCACAGCTCCTTTTGTTTCCTTGGCTTTTTGGCAGCCGGGACGTTGCCTTTCAGAGCGAGGGGATAGTGTTACGGACTCTGCCAGGGCTCGATCCCTGGTCTATCTTTTTGCCGTTTCTGCTGCATCCCGTTTTCGGCCTTGCACCCTTTTTTTTCCAAACCCCTCCTTTGGTACCGTCGGATTTTGGACACCTGGTGCCATGCTGCAATTCGGGCGCCACTTTCAAATACCGCGTTTTTCAGTTCTGCCCTCGAGGCTTTTGCGGAAATGCCCCTGGTACCGTACGTGTCACCGGTACTTATACCGGCTCCCCGTACAGTACGGGGACCAGTCTCGTACCAGTTTTCAGCTGCTGTACTCGTACTCAGTGTGACTTGCTGTTTCGGCATTCGGAATCCAAGACTTTGACTTTGTGCCCTTGCCACTGTGTCTGCGTCCGACCCTCAGTCGTGTCGAGCGAGTAGTGTCTGTGTGTGCTCTCACTCTCTCATTCGCTCCCTCTCTCTCTCCCTCTCTCTCTCTCCTCTCCCTCAGCCTCGCGCTCGTCACACAATCAGAGGCTGTGAGGCACTGGACTGCCTCTCCAGATATAAGCTACTTGCTGCTGTCTTTCTGTGTCCTTTGCCTGAGATCGGCTATGTCAATTTGTAACTCTGTTATGGGTTATGGGACTGTGGCACTGTGTCTAGGGTCACAATCTCGCGTTTTGGTAATTTCTGATCTCTGCATCCCCCAACGTAGCGAGATCTTCTATTTCCTGCTAACAGGCCTCTTCATCAGCTTTTCGTTCTCTCTTCTCTCCTGTCTTTGCTGTTTCTCAACGGCTGCCAGATTTCGCCCCATTTTCTGGATGTATGCTTCCAGGGGGCCAACAGGTCTTACTCTTGCCTTACTTGAGGAGGAAGACTGCTCTTCTGTCTCCACAAGGCCCCCTGCTGTGTCATCATCATCTTTACCATTCATGGAATCTCTCTTCCTTCTCTTTCTCACGTTTTTCTAACTTGGTCTTAGAATGTAAGCGGTCAGCAATATTTCCTCTCGTTAATGAAAAATAAACACCCACAAGAAGTGGTGAGGCAGGATACTTTTGGCTACAGGAGCAGTTAATTAAGAATAAGAGAAATCACAGGAAAAAAACAGCATATGGTCCAACAAAAATAAACCAAAGCCAAATTCTGATCGACTGCCCGCTGACACAGGATGGAAAGGTGCTAATGCTACCATTGGGTCACATCGGGGAACAACAAATTGAAGCGGTGAATCAAGTAGATACAGGACTGCAGAAAGTAAGGACGAATAGTCCATGTCACTTTAGAAAAGGCAGTCTTGGATTCCCCTCCAAGAAGCCACCTTACAGGTCATCGTGACTGGTCTTCGCTCCATCATGTGTTGAGTATCACTGGTTGGAGGGAAGACTGATACTCCCTCTTACAGGATTACATTGGCGCACTTGAGGGATGCATCCTAGCCTATCCGAGACCTATAGAATCTAATAGACTCGCTGAATAATAAGCATCCAAGCAACACAAACACTACACCAAGATCCCCTCTTAAACCACCAGTACGTGGCCCATATATCGGCCGCGGGGCGTTGTCGTTAATACCCCGCAACTTCAGGAGGCCCGGGGTACCCGACCTGAAAGGCTGGTGCCGCCAGGCAAAACGTTTTGTTTTGGTTGCGCTGGGGGGTCGGCACAAAACGGCGCGCAGGCCGTTTTCAGGCTCGGCATCGATAGCTGGGCCAAGTACTGGTGGTTTAATGTAACTTCATACCTTTAGCATAGTGAGGTAGTACAAATTGCAAAACAGAAGAACTTTCAGCTAGAAAGTGCAGCAAAACAGGTAGAAATGATCAGCAAGCATCCAGAAGCACAACATCCATGCAACCACAACTTCGACGGGCATCGAAAGGTCACACGAGCACTTGAGTCAGGTGACTCACGCTTGAAGCCGGAAATTCTCTCCCTCTCTCTTGCCGACCACTCTCTTGCTCCCCGTAAGCAGGGTTGTCCTGACCCTTCAAGTCCACTCCACTAAGGCTAGTCGGTCTGTATGCAAGTCAACCCCACTGCTTATGAAGATGATAGGAGTCAATTAGTAACCGTATTGAGTAGCCTTGATCCCGTCGTAGCTTCCCTCCTTCTTGTGAACTGAAGAAGGTGCCACCTTTGGTGACACTTGAACTTCTCGAGGTCCTCCTCTTGCAAAAGTGCCTTTCACTCTTCTCAACCTCACCTCCTCACTCCAGCACACTGCTTCCTTTTTGTGGCCAAACCTAGGCCACCTCTAGATCCTAATCTGAGGTAGAAAGACCCCAACACCTCTAAAGAGTCAGGGTAGGGCAGTCTAAAAGTTACTCGCCTCCTCAATCCCTCCTCCCAAGCCGTAATCCGAGGTATATATTACGGGACACCTCTCAGAATTAGGGCTGGAGTAGAGTAGCAAAGC